TTTCCGTACGCGTAGTGAGCTCGATCTCGACGTTCTCGACCCAGCACCCGGGGCACAGTGGGTGAAGACTGACGTACAGCTTGGCCAGTCATCGATGCCGCCGTAAAGGTGGCGTGCGTGAATGTAGGAGAAGTGGTTCACGGGAAATGTCCAGTCTAGCTGCGCGTCATCAATCTCGAACTTGCAATTTGGCGGGAGCCAACTAGGCTGGACAGCCGAGATGTCGGTGCCGAGCACCTTGGCAGAAGGAAACTCGTCAGCCATGTCGATGGCCCAGATTCCTGTGCCTGTGCCAATATCAAGAATTCTTTGAGGATTGTTTCCAATGGGGGCGTTGTAAAGCTTGTTGTCCATCAAGAGCAACATGTATTGGTGGCTGTTGTGGTTAGCGAGTGCTTTTTGATTATTCATGGGTAGGTTATGCAGGGTGTCATACGCAAGGTCGAACCCCTCAATGTGTTTCTCGTCAGTTGGTGCCCTAAGGACGAGGAGTAAGTTTTCTTGAACCATGAATCACGCACAAACTTGCATTCATGCCAAGCCATAAGAAAACTTACCAGTAGTCGGTCGTTTTCGACGACTGAAAATGGCGGCCGTTGATGTTACGATATTCGAGAATGCTAGACCGCAGGGATGCTGTGGATTCGCGTAGGCTGAACGATAGCATGAGTATCAATTCTCAGCTCTGAATATCTTCAGCTGCTGACCTCTCGACATCAGCGGATGAGTCGTTGTCGTTCTCCAGGTTTCCCACGACATCAGGATCCTGACGGCGGCAGTTAGCATTGACTCTCTTGCCACTTCCAAGTTCTCTCTTTGGATCTGGGAAATCGATCGCAGGGTACAAGAAGACCTCGTCGAGCGACGGAACATACCGCTGCAATGGAAGGTTGTTGGCTCTGCTGTTGTGAAGACATGGCAACCCGTGGGAACTTCCTGGCAGTAATGGCGTATACGATTTTGGCACAGGTATTCAGGGGAATTCCAAAAAGAAGCTTGATTAGTTGATTTTTGACAGATGTATGAGAGGGGAGAATCACGACCACCCTTTGTGGGGAGAGGAGGGGTCATGCAAGGCGAGGAGAGTACATCGCATTCTTCAACCGGGGGCAGGGACGATCATCTTGACTCCGTCGCCTGCATCTATGTGTCCAATTGAACAAGGCAGGTCCTGCATGTCGGCCAAGACTCCACTGTCCGTTGGCAGTGCTTCTACCTATGTGACTTTTAGGGTAGCATTAAGCCGGCAGCCTCGGCAAACTTCGTTGTTGGCTAGTTCTTGAGATGTGAGTGTACCTGGGTCTGCCAGGACGAAAAAAGAAGTCCATCGCATTGGTGTTGATGAATACAAATGTGATGAAGACAAACGAGGTACGCTAACACGACATAGCCCCCGTTCCCCCCTAGTCCTCAGGACACCCGATCCCCATGTCTGATGGTCAAGTTATTGTTCCCTCGAAAGTGAATGGATTTGATCAGTCACAACGACTACAGGATGCCCAGCTTGGCGTTAGCGGTACTGTGGACATTGTCCTGGTCTGGCTTCTAGCTCTCTGAACTTCGCCAAACCATTTCCGGCATCGTCATTAGCTCTCCGAAGCCTGACGATGCTGATCCATTTCACCGAGTGTAGTAGTGAACGTATCCTCTCGTGTTGCCCCGGTGAAGAATGCACCTTGCGTTTTCATGCGCTTCCGGCTCTCCGCAGGATATACAATATGTTGGATGCGTTCTGCGCCGTGCGCGACAGTTCTCGCAGTAGTTACGTTTTCGACTTTCCAGGGTGTGGGAGTGAATTCTTCTTTTGCCGCAGTTTCCGCACCAAGTTGCCATGGCTGTTGTGTCTGGTCATATGGAGTTGGGACGGTTATGTCGGCGTGGCTGAAGTGAACTGCTCAGCTCTGTCACGTCAAGCAAGTCCGGACAAAGTAGGTTTCTGGCGCATGGACACAGAACTACAATGCTCATGGAAATCCCGGGGATATTGTGTTAAGTAGTCGTGGTAGCGGCCAGTGAGCCTGCAAGATCTCGCAGCCCGTCACAATCCTCATCTCGAGCTCACATCAGGCTGGAGGGCTCCAAGGCTCGACTCCCCAAAATCGACGTGTGACCTCAGGCCATCGTCCAGATGATCGAAGTGAGATCGAGGCTGTACGTAGGCGACGCTAAACTTGGCTTAGCTCACAGAGCCTCGTCCTGCAACCCCAACATTGAGTTGCCCATGCCCGACGCCTCTCTCTGCGGCGTAGCAATGCAGGGCACCAAATTACTTGATTGATCCCTCCCTGTAGACAAACTGTATTTCGTGACTGCGAATGGAAGTGCCTCACACCCCGAGGCGAGGAAATTCTTAGGACATGGGTTATGTTGACACAGCCTTAGAATTCAGAAGGCCTCCAATACGACGCTTGCAACATACCTAGAAAGCTGCACACGTTGCGATGACTACATCTTGCAAACTGAAGGGCCTCGTTGCGAGATATCCGACACGCACATCAGTAGGCTTGCAACCCCAATCTCGAAATGGAGTCAGCTTTTACAGATCGCCATGTACGCTGAGCTGTTGGTGCACGTTGTGAGCCCAAGTTGTTTGACCCATGGCACTGAAGCAGATCAAGCTGGAACTTTGGCGTCTGCCACAGCCTTGCTTCATGTCTCGTGCCACAGGTCTGGGGGCGCTCAAGTGGTAAACGCATCATGTTGGCTGCAATATGTGTGCCTGAGCCATCTCACTCGCCTGAATTTGGTAGGTAATCGTGTCAATATTCATTGCTGAGGCATTCGCCCTGTTCACCCCATAGTCGATCCCTATCGACCACAACTATACCATACATTGAATTTGCTCATCATGTCGTATTTCGGTCGGCTGGAGTATCTGAAAGAGGCGGGAGGACGCTCCAGCTGGCTCATCGGATTTCAGGCTCCTTCATAAAGTCTGGTTCGCTCATGCCCCCCTCGTTCGGGTCCCAGCGCTTCGCCCGCAGCCGCCTCTCCAGTCGGCGGATCCTTTGATCCGAGTCCTCTTCGACAAACTCTTCGTCTTCACCGCGCAGCGCCGTCTTGTCGATCATCTCAACCATTTCCGCCATGGGATTGCTGCCCGCCTCCACCGAGGCGCGGGCGTCCGTGTCGGCAGCGTAGATCTTAATGCCGCGCAGATGCGTGTCCTTGCCGTTCTGGTGGTTCTCCAGAATCTGCATCTGAAACACATAGCAGGCGAGGGTGTTGCCGTCTGGCCCTCCACCCGTGCCCGCGATGGGAACCTGCTGCCATCCAGAGGGCGTCGTGAGCTCCATGACGGCGAACTCGATGAGGTTGTTCTCGCTCGTGCCAGATTTGAAAAGAATCTTGGTCGGCGTGTAGGATTCGTCGGCCTGGTAGTCGACGTAGAAGCGGATGTCGCGAATGCCAACGCGCTTGACGAAATAGACAGTCATCCTATGAGGCTGGGGTCCGTCGGATCTGAAATGGTAAGCTACTGTTAAATGCCTGCAATACAGTGGTGCAACATACTGCCAGTACTCGTCCGTATCATCGCTGCGCATCTCATCCACTCCATTTCCCGGCTTGTGGCTGCTCACAGTGAACTTACCCAAATTGGAGATCTCTTTCAGGCCCATGGCGCTTGGGTCAAAGGGCATCGCCATATCGCCTTCTTGATCGTCTTCTTCTATTTGATCCTCAATCTGCTCGTCGACCGGGCCTTCCGTGTACTCCTCATGATCATCAAAGTGATCATCACCGTCTTCCTCAGGGCTAGTGAAATCGTCAGCCTCCGCCGGTGTCTCCGCCGGTGAGCGAGCCGCTGGATGCCTCAGGTCAGGCGTCTCCATGGCGGCGTGTCTTAAGTTGGGCTGTACCGAAGGGCTTTCGTCGTCCCTGTCGAAGCCTTGCTGCGGCGTATGAGTCGTTGGCGTCCCTGGAATGGTGCCAGAGTGGCTTGATCAGCATCCTGGAGAAATGACCTGGCGAAAAGCAGATGAGCCGAGCAAAGAATAAAAGCGTGCAGGTGCTTAGAGAGTACGCTCAAAGAGTTGAGCCCACCTATGAGCCACGTAAATGAATGCAGGACAGGAACCTGGGGAATCTTTTTAAGGTAGGTAGGCAGGGGATTGAATACTACTTCTATTTGCGTCTGAGCGTGGTTGAAAGCCACCCAGGACTAGGGCTTTGGGAAGATGAAGGTCTGCCAACAAGTCGAGACTCTAGCGTGCATGATGAAAGAAGTTGGCTCGATGTGAAGACCCCCGACGAAAGTGATAGATGTAGTTTATGGCAAGGCCGAAGGTGTTAGATGGGAGCGAGGTTGAAATTCTTGCAGCCCTTTCCTCCAGATCCAAATTTTCGTCTGACACAACAAATGGAAATGAATGACCTACCCCTGGAATTGGATGGCGACCTTCGCTCCGTATAGTAGTTCATCAATAACCTCTGGGCCGCATGCACCTGCTGATCTGACACAGAGCTCGGCGGGAGTTGGTGGTCCGGCGTGCTGTGGACTTCTGGTGTCCTTGCTGGTCCAGAATTTTGAGCAACGCGGCGTGCCCGCCTCGAGCCGCGAAGGAGTCCCTCCATCTGCCTTGACGCGTGCTGACCAGCGCGTTGGCAACGTGATGGGTTTCGATGCGATATGAGATCGGCAAGAGGACGACGTGATGGTGAAGAAGCGCGGCGTCACGTGCTGTTGTTCACACTACCAGGAGGCACGCAGGTCATTTCATGAGCCCCGGTTTTAGCACGGCCACCAGTGCCATCAGCACACGGCGCTTACAGAGGCGATGCGTCACGACCAGCACAATATTCTAGAAAACTGAGCTTGAATTCCACGCAAACTTGTAAATGAATAGGAGGCTACGTTGTGCTCCGTCAAGGTGGCCTTTCAGGACGTCACAAATGAGTGCATACTCGAGTGTAAAATGCTTTTCTTGATTTCCAGCATTGAGAGACATGCAACCGTTTAGACCAACCTTTTCCCCCCAAGGGTCCCGCCAATAACGCCGGCCAAATAGCAAACAACCAAGATCGAGGTATCATACAGCAAGAGGAGACATGTACAGGACACATGGGACGCTTAGGCACCCAGCGACTGGCGCTTCTTCTTCTGCTTCTTCTCCTTCTTCGGCGTCGCCTCCTCGGCGTCCTCGTGTTTCCTCTTCTTCTTGCCCTCGGCATCAGACTTGGAGGGGGTCTCGTCGGCCTTCTCCTCAGCCTTGCGGAGCTTCTTCAGCTCCTTCTTGCTGAACACGACTGGCTGGCCGTCGGGGCCGAGCTCGACATCACCGCGCTCGAACTTGCGCTTGAACTTGGTGACGCTGATACCGGCAGCCGCGGCGTGACGCTCGTAATCAGCCTCGGTGAGCTTGGCAGGAGTGGTCTCGACAACGACCTTGGTGGTGGTGACCTTGACAGGGGTAGCAGCGGCACGCTTGGCGTCCTGCTCGGCCTTCTTAACCCTCCTCTCCTCGCGCTCCTTACGACGGGCCTTCTGGGCCTTGACGCTCGGCCTTGTCGGAAGGCTTCTCGCCATCCGTGTCGTCCGAGACGGAACCAATGCTGGGAGAGCCAGAGGCATCCTCCATGTCGTCGTCCGAGTCCTCGGCCTCGCTGTCGGCATCCTTCATCTCGACCTCCTGGATCAGAGCCTTCTTGGCCTTCTTGGCCTTCTTGTCGGCCTTGCCGTTAACCTCGGCACCGTCGACACCATCAGCGTCGGCGTTGTACTTCCTGACCTCGTTCAGGGTGAACTGAGCAGGGGCAGTGAGCGAGCCATCGGGGGCAATGTTGGCGCCCTTGGGCAGAGGAGGCTTGCCCTCGAGCTTGCGGAGTAGGTTCTCGAGCTTGATGCGGCTGGTGAGACCGAGCATGCCCCTCTCCTCCTCATCGGCATCTTCGCCATCAAAGTCGGCCAGGGCATCGACACGGAGGCCAAGGGCCGTCTTGGCAGCGAGCGAACGGGCGATCTTGCCCTTGTTCTTGCCAGTAGCCTGACCAACGAGAGAAGAATGGTAGATGATACCGTACTTGGGCGTGTCGTGCTTGGTCTTGAGCGCGCGGAACAGAGCCTTCTCGGCACCGTAGATCTGGATAGTGGAACTAGGCGCCTTGGCAAGGCTGAGAATGGAACCAGCGTGGGCGATGAGGCGGGCACCGACGAGAGTGCCGACGAGTGCCGTCAGGTTGGGGGCAAGAGCGCGCATGCGAGTCTCGAGGTACGAGGACAGCTGAGTACGATACTCAGAGTACGAGATGACCTGGCGGGCAAGGAGCTGGATGTTCTCGAGATCGTCGGGCGTGATTTCGGTACCCATGCTGATCTCGGCAGCGGTCTTGACGGGGGTCTCGAGCTCCTCAGGGAGGATGTCGGAAAGGTCGGCATCGGCGAGGTTCTCGCGCATGCCGACGAGGTCGACAAGACGGGCGTAGGCAAGGTTATCGTTGAGGATCTTGGCCAGCTCAGGGAAGTGCCAGCCATACCACTCCTTGGTTCGCATGGCGTAGACGTTGAGCTCCTTGTCGAGATCATCGAGAAGCTTGATGGCCTGGACGACCATGGCATCGACCTTGTCGGCGGAGAACTTGAGCTTGTGGCGAGAGATGGAGTGGGAAAGACCCAGAGCCATGCGGTCGACAGTTTCATCGGCGAGACCGGGAATCAGGGAAGAAAGGTTCTCGCGAACGGCACGGAAAAGGTCCAATGTGGCAGCGTCGGAAACCGCCTTGATGTCGAGGTCGGGAAGCTTGCCAATGGCAGCACCCAGCTTGACATCGGCGACGGCCAGCGAAGCCTTCTTCTCGTCCTTGATCTCGTTGAGAAGATTGGCAAGCATCGGGGGAACGCGACCCTCGCGGAGTCCGCTGGCTTCCTCGACGGCAATGGCGGAGCTGTCGAACTTGACAAAAGACTTGAGCTTGAGCCTGATTTCAGTCAGTACATGTTGTCTTGACACGCACGCGACCCTTGGACCACACCGCACAATTGCGGTCTTCAATCCAAATCCGCCGCCGCCGTCGAACTCCGAGCCACTCACATGTCATTGATCTGCTCGGAAGAGGTAGGACCGGAAGTAAGCTCCTCGCGCTTCAGGAGCTTCTTGTCGGCAGCCTTGAACAGGCCGTAGCTATGCAGACGTTAGTGACCACGCATCCAGCTAGATGTTGGGTGAAACGCACCCCGCAGGCGTCTCAGCGAGAACGAAGAGGGACATGATGACTGTTGCAGAGTCCGATACTCTTTCGACACAGTCTGTGGGTGGGATCCTCCGCTCTTCTCACGAATGTTGCTTGTCGTGGGAAGGAGATCGCTTGCAGCGGATTGTGGTGGTTGGAAATTTTTCAAGGTCGAGCTCCTCCAATTTTTTTTTTGCTTTCTGCAGCCTTTGCTCCAGCCCCACACCCAATTGGAAAACGAGTGGAGACGCAAGGTCGAATGCAGAACGGTGACCGTATAAACCATTCTTCCGACATAGCTGAACTCGCCTGGAACAGTGGAGCTATATGACATGGTCCGTGCCACGCCATGCCTCGCAGCCTGCGATCCAGTGATGAGGGAACTTGGTCGCCTGGAAGCTTTGCTGGTGCAGGTTCAACAGCATCATCGCATCTCCTCGGCGAAATTCCGACCTTCGAACTTCCAAGTACTTCATTTTCGCCTACTCACTGTCTGTCAGTCTGCTTCGCAATGGAGGGGCTTCTGTTCAACGTGAACAACGGGTAGTACCTAGCCGATGCAGCGTTCATCGTCCGTCCAGCTAACTTTCGTAGCTACATCGAGGGCATCGTTCGTGGATACAGGAACGGTCTACTCACAGGATCCAACTACTCCAACCTGACACAATGCGAGACGATTGATGGTGCGCACAGCCCCTCTGTATTAATGGGAATACTTCTAAGACCAGTCAGATCTCAAGCTTCAGCTTGGCCCTGCCTACGGCGACTTCCTAGGCAACCTCCCTCCAAACCCCTCGACTTCGGCCCTCGCATCCAAGACGACAGATAAGCTCGTGTCCGAGTTCCGCTATGTGCGCGCCAATGCTGTCGGCGCACTTGCGCAGTTCATGGACTATGTCACCTACGGCTACATGATCGACAATGTTGCCCTTCTCATTACCGGCACTCTGCACGAGCGCGATACCCGTGAGCTGCTAGAACGCTGTCACCCCCTCGGGTGGTTCGAGACGATGCCAGTCCTCTGCGTTGCAACCAACATTGAGGAGCTCTACAACAGTGTTTTGATTGAGACCCCCCTCGCTGCCTACTTCAAGGGCAGTCTGAGCCACCAGGACCTTGACGAGCTCAATATTGAGATTGTTCGCAACACCTTGTACAAGAACTACCTCGAGGACTTCTATAATTTCATCAACAGCCATCCCGAGATGAGCAATACGCCAACGTCGGAGGTCATGTCAGAGATCCTTGAGTTCGAAGCTGATCGTCGTGCCATAAACATTACCCTCAACTCCTTCGGTACTGAGCTGTCTAAGGCTGATCGTAAGAAGCTCTACCCCAGCTTTGGCAGACTCTATCCCGAAGGCACCTTGATGCTCTCGAGGGCGGATGATTTTGAGGGCGTGCGTCTGGCGGTGGACGGCCAGTCAGACTACAAAAGCTTCTTCGACGCCGCCGGCCTTGGCGGAGGTGCATCAGGGCCCGGCAACATGGGTGGCGGCGCAAGTGGCGATGGCAAGAGCTTGGAGGACATGTTTTACCACAAGGAGATGCAAATCTCCAAGAATGCTTTCACGAGGCAGTTTTCGTTTGCCATTGTGTACGCCTGGGTGAGACTCAGGGAACAGGTAAGCAGAACCACTATGGTTGACTGTGCAGTCAACGGCTAACACCTGGATAGGAAATCCGGAACATCACCTGGATTGCAGAGTGTATTGCCCAGAACCAGAAGGACCGAATTGGCAACTACATTAGCGTGTTCTGATCTAAATGTCTTGTTTTTCTCCCCAACTTCCTGTAGAATACCAACCACCATCCCGCAATCCCTCCAGCGGGGTCATCACGGCGCAAGGAGGCACCTAAGGTTAATGACGCGCAAAAGACCGGCATCGTTTCTGATCAGTATACATAGTGTACATAGTGGACAATGACGAGTCTACACATCTCTAAAACTACAGTCTTACAGGCTGATCTGCTCCTTCCACGTAGCCGGAGAGAGTCCCAACGTCGCCAGGAGGTTGGTCCACCTCTCGCTGCCCCTCTCCTTCTTCTCCATGTACCTCAGGAGTCTCTGCCGCCTGTGGCACAGTAGCCGCAGGTGAA